GATAGATAGATAGATAGATAGATAGATAGATAGATAGATAGATAGATAGATAGATAATAAATAAATTTAAATAACAAACAAAGATGTGTTCAGGATGTTTTCAGATTTATTTATCTGTAATTATTTCACTGACATAATTGTCTATCATAGAATGTCTGCATCACAGAAATGTTGACATTTTGTGCAAATCGATCTGGCTCAAGCACCATCTTCATCCTCTGAACTTTCTGTTTTTGTAACTGTAACTATGGCCGGGTGGGACCTCTCTCTTCATTAGTATGTTTTTCTTATCGTTTTATGATTGGTTTTTGTTGTAGTTTGGWGTGGCTGTGGCTTTGACGGCCCTGTATAGGGCTGGCCCACTGTCACACCTTCAGTTTTGTTTGGCTGGCTTTTGTTTGAACTTTGGGTTTGTTGAAGACAGTGGTCCTTAATTTTCCTCTTTTTTCTTTTTTTGCAGGAAAGTGTTGGTACTTTTTTACTCATCGCTAAGATTTTTTGGAGGCCCAGAATTAATAAAAAAATATTTAAAAAATTATTCCTGGATTCTGTCTTTGTCCTCAAATGAGTTATGGCTCTCTGTGGTTCAATGGGCCATAACAGCCAGTAATGACAAACTTTTCTGCTATTGAATTTCCTGTTTTAATGTATTTTTGAAAATAAAGCAACATTTTATGCAACAAGAAGACAGTATTTTTGATTTTTTTGGACTGTTCTCTAAATGGAAATGTTGAAAAAACAGAAAGAAATACCAAAGTTATATTTATGACAACTTGGGTAATATATTTTAAGGTCTAAAACATTTTAAAAAGCATCAGTTTTTCACTATTAAATGTCAAATACTGTATTAAATTCTTGGGAGTTTTATTGTTTAGGATGGAAACTTGTTTTTTTAATGATCTCATTCATTTCCTGTCTCTCAGACATCACTGTCACTAATCATGCATTCATTAAATTAGCCTGCAGGTGCTTTGTCAGCAGCAGTCATTAAAATGCTTGTTCAGGTTCTGTGGATCACTATTCAGTAAGACTATGTGCTGGTTTTGCAACTTAGTAGGAGCTTTTATTAGCTGAGAGCAGTGCAAAGGTCACATACTTATTTTAATCATCTTTTGCGGCTACTCAAACCTCACGTATAAAGTTTCCTTAATCCCTAAATTAAGAAGAGATTAATTAAAAAAAATGAAATAAAGCAAGTGAGAAGGAAAAAGGGCCTAACTGGAGCGGAAATGAAAAGGAAGGATGTATTGAGGGATAATTTTCCCCAAAGCTTCTTACTATTAAGCATTACAGATTAAGACATTGGAAGGTCAGTAAAGAAGTGTAAACTAGGAGGCAGAAAAAAATGTTTGTTGGTTTGTTTGCTGCTGTCTAGTTAAGACTGTTTACTTTTTACGCAAATTAAACAAGAGGCAATCTGGGAGGGTGTATTATTTCCCTTCTAATCTTCTCACATGCCTCTCCAGAGGCTCAGGTTCCTGTTTTAACATTCACACAATGTCTGCTAGCATCATCAGCAACTGAAATTTAAATCCTGGGAGCAACAACAAGACAGTGGTGGTGTGTGGCAGCAGATGGGGGTATGTTTGGGTTGACTTTGGTTCTCGCTCTCTTTAATTAAATATCCTTATCAGGATAAAACGTCTCAACTTACCGACGATCTCACCCAAAGGTCCCTTAGTGTGAGGAAAGGAATGTTCAGATAAAACGGTAAAAGTTTAAGAGTCAAACCATCAACCATCAGGGCTGTCAAAGCGTTTTACTTTATTACATCGGCACTTGTCTGGTAATTGAAGTGAGAAAGTCCAWTTGCAATTGACTGTCAGAAGTGCTTTACATCAAAGAATCTGTAGTGATTTAATTGCACAGTGAATCAATTTCCTGTGTTGACGTTAACTAATAGTGACTTCCTCCATACCGGCTYGGACCCACTGGTTATCTTGTTACTCCATGTGCTGGAGTTAACAGAACCTTAAGGTTTATGAAAGCTGAGCACATGTGCCACTTTCTCTGCTAGGATTTATTGTGCAGTTTGCCTTCATTTGGAGTTACTTTGGAATTARATGAGTATGTGCTCAAATTGTCTACTGTCACATAATTCAGATTAACAAGCAGACTTTTCCCTAGTTTAGAAATCACACAAATCCACTCCCTACATTTTCACTTCCACCTGTTTGGTGTTCTTTTTATTCTTATAGTTCAATGTTCTTACTCACATGTGCAGTTATAACGTTTGTGTTTAATAGTCTTTTGAAAAACACAAAAAAACAAGCTTTACATTTTAAATAAAATAAGCTACGTCTGTCTAAACAATCACATAATTGTACCAGGGTTGGGCAATATTGATATAAAGATTTATCATGATTAACTGTGGCATGTTACGGCCCCTTGAAACACAGAGAGGGTTACAACACATTTGAGGACACGAAAACAGAACTCAGGAACAAAANACATTTGAGGACACGAAAACAGAACTCAGGAACAAAACGCTTTTATTAATTATTCTGCCTGGGCCCCCAAAAAAAAAAAAAAAAAAAAAAAAAAAAAAAAAAAAAAAAAAAAAAAAGGTGAGCTGAGGAGAGAAAAAAAAAGTACAAAAAAAAACCTTTCCTGCAAAAAAGAGAGAGGGAAAATTTAAGGACAATTGTCGTCCAAAATAAATTACTAATCCAAAAAACAAAACTCAAAGTTCAAACAAAAGATGGATCTGGTGAGCCAGCCAAATAAAACAAAAAGGTGCAACAGTAGGCCAACCCCATACAGGGTTGTCGAAGTCACAACCACACCAAACTAAAACAAAAAAGACCATCATGAAATGATAAGAAAAAAATACTCAGGAAAAAATAAATAAAAAAAAGACTGGTCCCACCAGGCCAAAGCTACAAAAAAAGTCTGGCTCAAAAATACGTCAAAAACTCATGTCAGGCTGAGGAAGGCTGAGGCAGAGGGCCAAGCCTGCAGCCAGTCTCACCTGCAACCAGTTGGGTGCAATTAGCACCAACTGAAGGAGACCAGAGGAAGAAGGAGAAGCAAAAAAAAAAAAAATGAAGTGCTACAGACCAGTCCTATTTATAGGCGGGCAGGGCAGCTAACCAATCAGAACTTCTACATAATATAAGTTTTAACTAGAAAAAAGTAACCAATTCTAAATATACAGTACAACACTTCCTCTAAAATAAAACCTGAATAAAAAACCCAACAATAAACAAAAACACTCTAGAAAAAAGCAAAAATAAAACAAAACGTGCCTGAAGCACATAACAGGTATTTAGCTGATAATGGCTGAAATGATGATTAATAGAGGACAGTTGCACTTGTATGTAGACAATGTCGGCTTGGTCTGCATTTTCTGGTTTTCTTTGTACTCCAGTTTATGTCGGTGTGTAGGATTGGCTGCTCCACGCTGCCTTCCAGTATCAATCTCACATGATGGTGATGGTGTGTCCTACACTAAAACGTCATCACATCATCACACGACACTAAATGCAGTAACTGCAAAATGGCAAATATTAATTGTTGACAGTTTTACTGAGAACATTGCAGAGGATACAATTTTGCCCACCCCGAAATACTACTAATACTATGAGGGTATTTTTTTAAATATTCAATCAAACATAAAAGTAGTTTCAGTCAAAAAAATATCCTATCAAATTGGTCATTTCAATAAAGATAGATAGATAGATAGATAGATAGATAGATAGATAGATAGATAGATAGATAGAT